GAAATTCGAAATGAAAGTCGTTTCATAATATGTTGAATTAGTAAACAATAGAAACTTTACCAACTATTGGAAAGTTGAATATTAAACATGTTATGATATAAGTGACCCTATGTTTTTTCTTTTTGTAGAGGTACAAGGTAAATGTAGTGGAGTAAAAATTAAAATATGTACAATACTCTCCTATATAAGTACAAATTGTCACAAAATGGAACTAACTTAATATTGCATTTAAATACAACATTTCTTCCCCATTTTCTTAATTCCTGTCTCTTACATATTTTAATATATTTATTTGTTTTCTCAAGACCCTCAGCTTTATTGATTCCTTTGACCCCAATCTCAACTCATCAATATGCCTCCACCCAGACAGCTTGGCTTCAATCAACTGATCCTGTTGCATTTGACCCATCTTATAACAAACGCTGTTGACCTTTACCCATGATCCACCCTGCCCAGTGCCTCACACAACGCACCGTCATCATCTGAAACTGGCACATAACTCAAGAGAGATGAAAGGGAGAAAAGAAAAGATGGAATAGAAAAGCGGAGCACGGGAAAGAGAGGGAAGGAGAAAGAGGATGCAGGAAGATAATCTTATAATGTCCTTCTGGGCTATATTTAGTTCTGAATCGTGTACGGCTACTGGGCTGAAGGCTCGAATGTAAAACTACAAAAAAAAACTGTAATAAAAAGCAAAGTTACGAGGAGGAGAAATGAACAAATAGATATAAAGAGACACTATAGGGGGAAGAGACACAGAGGCAAGCAATGAAACAATAAAAATGCAAATGAAAGGCAACAAAAGCAGCAGAAATGGGGAACTGATGGAGGAGGAGGTGGGGAGGAGGTGGGGAGGAGGTGGGGAGGAGGTCTTAGCTGGAGGTGGTGTGTAAAACTCAATGTCCCATAGAGGCTCGGTGCTGACAGGTTTGGCAGGATCCACACTTTGCCACAGCCTCTGGATGGTGGGATACAGAAAACAACTTCATTAAGAAAAGAAGAAAGAGGGGGAAATAAAAGTCAAATGGTGGAGGGTAGGAAACGAAGGGGGAGGGTTGTTTTCTGAGGCACCACCACTGTTTTGCCTTTTAAGCATGAAGGAGATTATACTGTGTGGGGGAATTTCCATAAACATGCCTCTCTATTACCGCCCCCATTGTTCATGATTAATGAGATTAGGGTTTTCCTTTTCGCAAACATTCACGGATGTAAAAGCAGCTAATTGCTTGTCTCTTCCCAAATTAGAGGCTGCGCTGTTTGATGTTTGTCTCAACATGAATTTGCTCAAAGTGATGAAGCCGCCTGGTAAGAGATAGAGTTATACCTGATATGCACCATGTGGTGAAAGTTGAAAAGGAGCTAGAGAAGAAAAAACAAGGAGAGCAGGAGAGATAGTTTCATGATGCACGACAGCAATAAAGTGAACAGAGAAAAGGGGGTAAGTGGAAAAGAGGGGTTAATGAAAAGAGAAAAAGCAGTACTGTGAACTACCTGTGTGAGCAAGTGTCTAAGAAGAAGTAAAGAGGTTAAGATCTTTAAAAATCTATGTAAACCTAAAGATAAAGTAAGAAAAAGAACTTGGCCTGAAGTATGAAGGTGAAAATAACACTGAATCTCGAGCGAGAGAAAAGAGAGCAGGGTGAGGGAGGTGAGAGAAAGGAGATAGCAGGGGGCTGTTGAAAAATGAACGAGACAAAAAGAGAGGAGATTGCTTTGAACGCTGTAGATCTGTCAGAATTGAATCACTGGCGGCCAGCTGTAAGCTGTGATAGTGCTCAGCCTCTAAATATAACAGGCTCTGAGATGGACTGATACGGCCACAACAGAGGAGAGATGGTGAAGGGGAAGAAAAGAGAGACGGGACACAAACCGACAAATGTGCACACACACCAGGAGAATGACTGCTCACAAGTGGGTGATTTGTATGTGATGACATTTTTAGCATGTATGATTGTTTTGTGTAATACATTCCTGCAGACAAACACACACACACACACACACACACACACACACACACTCACACACACACACACACACACACCATGCAGGGGTAATATCACAACCACAACACTGCTGTATGACAACTCAACAACCTCCCAGCATCAGGACCCATCTGCCCAGACACAGCAGTGGAAGAAACCCACATTTAGAGCCTGATCTGTGGGCGTGAGCAGCAAACGTTGCCCCGAGGTCTTGGAAGTCGACACCGCCACCACAACCCCACTTGAGCCCCTGACTCTCGAGGTGTCAGTTGCAATGACGGGGTGATAACGTCCCCCCTGGGTAAAATTAAAACTACAACACACACACACACACACACACACACACACACACACACACACACACA